CCTTGAGGGACGCTACAGGTTTGCATATGCTAAATTACATTCATGTTCAGTCCTGGAAGAAAGCTGTGTTTTTTCTTTTTCATTTTATACACCAAAATGATATGGAAAATCATGCAGGTAGAGTTGGGTCTCCCAGAGGCACCTGCAGTGGCTGCTACTCTGCCTCGTCGCAGTTGGTACAAGCACAAAGAGGGATAAGCAAGGCTCATGACATGGTACAGGGCTATTCTTATCCTAGGAATAGTGCCTGAGAGCTTTTACCAACCCCCACTTTCCTGTCAGCTGGCTGCAGGTAGATCTGCCTAAACAAGTCCCAGTCCAACTTTCCTTTAGGTTCTTATTTTACCCCTAGGGAGCACCTGGGACTGTTGGGAAGTTGTAGGCTTACCCCTGCTAGGCTCATTCTCATCCAGGGTTAATCTCAAATTTGCTGCCCTTGTTGTGGAATGGAGAATTTTTCGGGGGTGGGGAGGAGGGCAGAAGGCTGCAAGAGAATATTCCATCTCGTGCCCTCCCCAGTACCCCCTGCTCCCAGCATCCCGGTGGGAGCCCACACCACAGCAGTGCTGCCCGAGACTGAGGGAAAACTTTCCAAAGTAGCTGCCAGGGCGTCCAGGAACTGTCTGAGGGTGGAGCCGGGAGAGGGAACATCCCTCTCCGTGACGGGGGCGGAGAGGAAGTACTTCCAGCGTCCGGGATGGATCTCCCGCCTTTTTTCGTTTCTCGCAGCTTGGGTTAGGCGGCATCGCTGCAGCCATGGAAAAAGCTAGTGCAGAATTTGAAGGAGGTGCCAGCCTGGAGGCCGAACTCTCATGTTCCATCTGCCTGTGCCTGTACAAGGACCCAGTGTCGCTGAGCTGCAGTCACACCTTCTGCCAGCAGTGCATCAAGAAAACGTTCGCAGCCCAGCTACAATCCCAGGCTCCTTTAAGCTGCCCCATGTGCAGGCTCCACCTCGGGCCCAACCTGGAGCTGCAGAAGAATTTCCACCTGTGCAACATCGTGAAGGCATTTCAGGCCAAGACTTCTGAAGAAAAACAGGGCAAGGGCTCTGAAGAGGGGGAGACAGAGGTGTTCCCCTGTGAGTACTGCCTGGATAAGACCCAGCCAGCGTTGAAAACCTGCCTGGTCTGCGATGCATCCTTGTGCCAGGCCCATCTGAACAAACACAACTCCAAGGCTTCCTACCAGGACCACATCGTGGTGGAGGTGGGAGCAGGCGGTGTGGCGGAGGAGAGGAGGTGCCCGGAGCACGGCAGGATGCTGGAATGCTACTGCAGCCGCGAGGAGCAGTACATCTGCATGCTCTGCGCCATCAGGGGGGCCCACGTGAACCACGAGGTCCTCACCCTGAAGGAGGGACATGACAAGCAGCTGGTAAGGAGCTCTTCTCTCCCCACGGCTCCTGCGGGGTTTGGTCCGAACCCCTGACCTGGAGGAAGGGAGGAAGCCACAGGAGGGGCAGCGAGGCTTTCACCAGGGAATGGGGATTGGGACGGGGGTGGGGGCGGGCAGGCAGCAGCTCCAGGGATTTCATATCTGCCCCAGCGGGGACTGGCGCATTGTGCTGGAATTTGCTTTTCTTTTCCTCATTTGTGTTGCCAGAGCAGCCTGGCCGGCTAAGCAGAGGGAGAAGAGCAGAGAAAGGTGTTTGGGGCTGCCCGGGACAAGGCTGGGTAAATCCCTCAGGGTGTGCTGAAATGGGAGAGTGAGAGGCAGCCCAGGGCCTCGCTGTCCCACATGCTGAGGTGCAGCCCCAGGGAACTGCCAGCCCCTCACTGGGGTGTTCCTGGCTGGTATTAAGAAGTATTCCTTCAGGGATTAGAAAATCTCTTCCTCCACAGAGCCTCGGGGATGCCACTATTACTGAACTTTGGGTGGGGAAACAGGTTTTCCCACTTGAGGCCCTTCCCTTGAGCTCCCTCCTTGTAGCATGCTGGGAGTTGGGCTCTGCTCCCAGGCAACAAGGGACAGGATGAGAGGACATAGTCTGTGCCAGGGGAGATTCAGGTTGGACATGAGGAGGAATTTCTTCACAGAAAGGGCGATTAAACATTGAAAGGGGCTGCCCAGGGAGGTGGTGGAGTCACCATCCCTGGAGGTGTTCAAGAAATGACTGGACTTGGCACTCAATGCTCTGATCTGGTCGACAAGGTGGGTATGGGTCGCAGGTTGGACTTGATGATCTCATAAATCTTTTCCAACGTAATTGATTCTGTGATTTTGCAGTTCCTCCCTCTGCCATAAATTTTGCTGAGCCAGTGGCCCAGCAGATACAGAGACATGGGGCCTCCACGTTCCTGCTTCTGAGTCCAGCTGCTGTCCTTGAAATGCTCCAGAATCAGCTGAGACTGAGGGCATAAAATGCATTTGCTATGCTCAATGCCTTGCTTTTGAAATTTCTGGGCTCAGTTTAGAGCCAAGGAAAAGACCATGCAGGAACCCAGTGGCTGGGCAGGAAATGCCTGGCTTACTCTGAACTTCAGGACAGGTCACAGCCTCCTCAGGAATTAGCAGGAAGGATCCTTTGCAGTTATCAGAAATCTCCTCCCTCACATTACATATAAAAAATTCAGAGCTGCCAAGCACAAGTGGGTTGTGTGAGACAGTGGCCGTTTCCTTCATCCCTGGAGCTGGTAAAGGAGCAACACTGCCCTGTCAGGAGGGGAGCCATCCCTGTGGGTAAACTGAGATCTCTGCTGCATATTCCTCTTGGGTGGTTATTTTTAAAACTCCTCAGGATAGCCAGTGAAATCGGGAATGCAGCTCTTCAGGAGGAATTGTAAAAGGGTTTCAGTGAGAAGAACCTTGATCAAATTCGATTGTTTGTCTTTTAATGTTTCAAAAATTAAAACTTCTGTGACAGCTGTGACAACTATCTCATGGAAAATCTAAACTTTCTGGCATGATTTTTATTAAAAAAATGGAAGTCTGGGAGATGTGTCTGTCATGGCCATTCATGGGTGCTCAAAATGTGAAAACTGCCGGAAGCAACCAAAGCCATTCAGAGACTGTCTAATCTCCAAAGAACAAAGTTTACTGTCTCCTCTGAACTGTGCTATTGTGCAGTTCCACAGCACTCAATGATCATAGTATCCCTTAGAATAAACAGCAGGATGAGTAAGTACTGCTGTTTTGCTGATTTTCAGAAAAGATAATTGCTTATTACCTTATCCTCAGATCCCACAGCTGCTGACAGATGAAAACTAAGGATTTGGACCACATTAAGGCACATATGAAGATTCTGTGAAGCTTTAACAGATAAAGTGAGATTTATTGATTCATTTTAAATGAAATTTACTTACTCAAAGGGAAAGTTATTAATTAACCTACCACAAAGTCACACATATATAAAATTTAAACAGTTTTCTCTTATGCCCCATCTTTACAAGGAGGCAAGTGAACACAGTTTGTTATAGGACTCACTGGTGAAAGAGGGCAGGCAGAAGGTGCCTGTGCCATTTCAGCTCCACAAACTGCCAGTCTGGTTTAAAGCTGTCCCTGCTATGAAGTTCAATGCTGTCTTTCCTTCTGCTAGACTAAACTCCTGAACAAGATGACATGTCTGCAGCTATATGAAAGGGCCATAGTTACTGCCCTAGAAGATCTTCAGAAAAGTGAGAATCAGATCAAGGTTGGTACCCAGATCATTGCTAATTCAGAGCATCTTTCCTTCACAATTTCCCACAGTAAGTGATGGCAACTATTCTGTTAAAAGCAGATGAATAGAAAGTGATATAGTACAAAACAGGGAAAACAGTGGTGTAAGAAAGTGCCAGAAGCCAAGCTTTCTCACAGCCTCCACAGGAGCAACCAGCTGGGAGATTCCACCTTTTATTGTAGTTGCACAGGTTACAGAACTGGCAGACCACAGATTGTATATATCATTATATATTTTTAAAGTTTTCTACCCATTAAAAAAAAAAAGAAAAATAATTTGCATCTACAGGTGGGGTTTTCAGTGTGTACAGATAGAATTCTCACATTGGTAGCTGAATTTTATCTGATTTTGTTACTATATCAGGATGAATTTTCATAAGCCTCTGTTTAATCAGATATTCTAAGCAAATGCTTATTGTCTGCTTCCTTCTAAAGGCAGTGCAAAGGATAGATACAATCCAAATTGATAAAGAGAGGCACTAAGCTGAAGTGTGGGGTTCCTGAGCTAGTGCCCCATTTTCTTAATCTCTTCATTTAGACCAATACAAAGACAGTGACTTCTCAGATACAAAAGCTGTTTGATGAGATAAAGACAGAGTTGATTAAGAAAGAGAAGATGATCCTGAGTGACATTCAATCGAATGAGAAAAAACAACTGGCATACATTGACTACTTGAAGAAGAATATGGAACATAGGAGAGAGGAGGTTGAGCGGAATCTTCAGCTTTTGCAGAAGCTGAGAGAGCAACAAGATATTTTCCTCTTCTTCAAGGTAAGCAGTGACATTCCATTTTTCTTCACAGATATGCCTATTTCTCAGCCAGCTGCCCTTTCTGATAATCACACTAACGATTTTTTTCTTTTTTTTTTTTATTTTTTTTGCAATCCTCTTTGTAGGAATTTCATGTAGCAATACTGGCCACAGACAGGTATGTTCCACCCGTAAACACTTGTTTTCTTCTTTGAAAAAATATGGTGTTGATAACTGGAATCAGACCCCACTGCCTGTGCCCCTCAGTGCTGCCACCCTGTGCTGCAAAGCTGCTCCCTATTCCAGCGAGACAGAGGGCACCACATCCACACAATTAACAAGGATGGAGAGATACCTGCCTGCTGTTCCAGTGGTCCCTTTATATTTTGGTTTCCTTGCTGGATTCTGGTGAAAACCACCCGCATTTAATGCCAGAAAAATGTTTGTATCTGAGATGAAGCCCATAGGGTTCAGTTTACAGCAGTGCTCTCTTGGATGTGCATTGGTGACCCTCCTTCAGCTGAGTCCCAGTGAACAGCCTTTGGCTGCAGAGGTAACTGGCTCATTTCCAAGAAAGTTTTTGGTTTGTGGACAAGCTTAGTAGCTGGAAAGATTTATTATTGCTTCTCTTGCAAGTGATACGTTTAATTTATAACTTATCACTTCCTAAATAACTCCTGGGTGTCAGCTGTAATTCGGTGGTGCACATCCACACTGACAGTAAGTTAGAGATCCACAGGAGGCTTTGCAGCAGCACTGAAGGCCCCAGCTGCATGAAGGGCTGGCTCAAACATCTACCTGGATGTTAAGATGTCATCTCTGTGACTTGTACAGATTAAAGCTGAGTTTGAACTTGGATTTGAATCATCGTGTACCTTGGGGCTGTGCTCCCAGCAGGGCAGTCTGTTACTTACAGCTGTGCTGCACGTCAAATTCTAGCCTGTGGGATCAAAATCATTTTCCAGGAGCCTGGACACCATTTAGTATGTTTGGCATTTTTGTTCTGTCACGGCAGCGGCTGTTCTACGACAGCATCAAGTCAAAGCACTGTTCACACATGGGTATCATCAAAATGCCTCCCCCTTTCTCCCTATCAGCATTTGAAAGTTACCATCCAGCTTTGGTAAGCAAAAGGCATTGCCAAACAAATAACAGTATATAACAATTGTTATATAACAACTGTTTACCCAATACTTCATGTTGCCAAAGCACCCTCCTCTTTGTAGAATCCTCCAAAGAATCCTAGTGAAGAAGTCTGTTAGCTTTTAGTGCTAAATGGTTTTCCTTGGTGAAAGGACTGTCTGTGCCCTAGGATTGCGCGCCAGAATTCGAACATTTACAGGGCAGATGTGGTGGTGGTGGAGGAGACGGATGGCGTCGGGATTCGCCGCTACCAAGACAAGATACGGGACTCCATGAAGGGACTGGACTGTATCTTCCGGGAACTGCAAGGTGAGCTGCCCCGACCCACCGGCCTTGCGCCGCTGACCCGCTGAAAACAGCGATCCATGGGACCCAGCAGTCCTGGCTGATGGGCACTGACCAGCACTGCTTTAACCAGGGTGTGTACGTGGCCTTAAGGGGCTGATGTGGATTCGTGTGGGATCTTGGGAGTGTTGGAAAGGGGAGGGAAAAGGGGGCAGAAAGACTGTTTCTGCAGAGAACAAGGAAGAAGTCTGTTCCTAAGCCAGTTTCTCCTCTGTCTGATGTGATTTCCTGCTCCCACCAACTTCCCATGTCTTTGGGTGCTCAATCATGCTTTCAAGAAGTGTGCTTTTCATTTGCCCACCTCTATCCCCACCTAGTTGATCTCTGACCATGAGATCCAGGGATACAGTACCAAGCCCTAAACTTGAATTTCTTGCCAGCTTTGTTAAACATTCTTCTCCATTTTTTTTTCAGATAAACTCACCAAACAAATGAAGTGTAACAGGTAAATCCTTTTCTTTACTTAAAAAATGATCCTGACAAATTTCTCCAGCAGTTTTTTATTTAAGGACCCTATGTCCCGTACTTCTCTGCTTCAGTTTCAAGGAGAACCAAGCAGAGTCTGGAAGGCTGTCCTTCCTCTCAAAAGAGGAGGGTCAGGTCTATTCACATCTCTTATTTCACTGTTAACAAGATGTGATTTGTGTTTCATGAAGCACTAACATTCAACACCGTTTCTTTACAGTGGGGCTTTGGTACCTCTTCAGACTCCTAAGTGTTAGAAAATACTGTTTATTCCTCAAGACTCTGGCTTGGCGCTGTGAGCCTTACAGAGAAAATCTCTCACCTAAAAATGTGAACAGCATTTTGTTGCATGCATCTCCTCTCCCTGCCAGAGGTGAACCAGCAGATGTGCAGCCTCAGGGCACAGCTCTCAAAATCTGCACTGGACAGAAATCTCTGGGAACTCACCAGAGAAATCATTTACCTTCAGCCTGAGGGAGACACTGGGTTTGCTTCAGCACTCAGTAAAAGTCTGAGCCTGTTCCAAGGAAAGACCACAGAGGGGTTCCCACCAACTGAGCAGAAGCTGGAGCAAACCCAATGCCTGAAAGGATTCCCAGACAAATCCAAATGCTGCAGGAGATATGAAATGTGTGAACAGTATTTCTCTTAAGACAGCACTAGTCCAATGCTCAAATATATTTCTGCTGGGCACAGTGGTGCATCTTTTCTCCTAGCTTTTTTGCATAAATGTTATTTAGAAGTTATATAAAAGATTTTTTTAATTTTTTTGTTGTTGTTGCTGAAACTGCAGTTTGCAAACAAGTTTTTCTTAAGCCATAAATTTTAAAGAAAATCCTACTTTCTTCACCACTGTGGCAGTTTGAGCCATTTGGCAGTTTTTAATTTTTGGAGCAAATCTAGAGGTATATTTTTTAATCAGTGTACATGTCCATTCATTTGTTTTGTGAGCTCAGTCTTCTACAGACATACCAATGGCTGTGCTCTATATGGAATGAGACAGCTACTCAAAATGGGAGAGAAAAGAAATATAGTTTTCTGAGGCAATGCAAAGCTCTACTTGGCAGCAACTTGTCAAGTATGTTATTAACACAGCAATAAAATATGCCTATTATTACAGTAAGTGAAGCTTTTCTGTCTTGTGTATTCCTACAGCACAAACCAAAGGATCGGCGTGTGACAGATATAAACAAAATTTTTGATTCACATACGGCCAGAAGAAAAAGAGAGGCAAAAAACAAGATGGAAAGGAAAAGTTTAATATTGTTAAAAATTACCTTTAATAATGAGAATCTGCCAAATGTCTTGACCTCCCCTATATCCCTTGCATTCAAATCAATTCTGTAGCATACGCAAATTTAAAAAAGAAGTGCTAAGAATTAACATGAACGTAAGAAAATCTCTGACTGCTGTTGTTTTCCAAACTCTGGGCTGTATCATCTCGTGGTTCTCATTATACTTGTGCACTATTATTTGTGGTGATTCTGTTGTTGTCATTAGGTGGCCGGATAACCAAATAAGTGGTGCAGGTAAGCAAGGCTGTGTGATTTCATACCATTACCAGGAACTGGTTTTTGAGAGCGTTGTTTGTAGATGGCTGCAGTAGAAAGCTGTTCAGGACCATGCTACGGGTTTGGATTATCACATTCAACACAAGTGTCTTGGTAGCAGTGTATTATCTTTGTATGGATCAACCTCTAGGCAACATTTCAATGCTTCCACAGAGTCTTCAAAGAGCCATGTAAACCACCATGGTCAGTAGCACACAAAGATGCTTTATTGGCCACATCTCCATGGGTACAGATCATAGAATCACAGAATATGCTGAGTTGGAAGGGACCACAAAAATCATCAGTTCCAACTCCTGGCCCTGCAGAGGACACCCTGACAATCCCACCCTGACCCTGAGAGCATTGCCCAAATGCTCCTTGAGCTCTGGCAGCCTTGGGGCCGTGACCACTGCCCTGGGGAGCCTGTTCAGTGCCCAGCCTCTCTCTGGGGGAAGAACCTTCTCCCAGTATCCAGCCTAACCCCCCCTGACACAGCTCCAGCTGTTCCCTCAGGTCCTGTCACTGGTCACAGAGAGCAAAGATAGAGCTGCCCCTCTGCTGCTCTCAGGAGGATGTTAAAAGACCATAGTGAGGTCTGATCTCGGCCTCCTCCAGCTGAACAAGCCGAGTGACCTCAGCCAGTCCAGACCCTTCACCATCTTCATGTTCATGTACCTCCTTTGGATGTTCTCTAAGAGCATCCAAGGTATTTTTTATATTGTGGTGCACACTGGGTTCGAGATGAGGCCACACCAGTGCAGAGCAGAGCAGGACAATCACTTCCTTCAACCAGCTGGGGATGTTCTTTCCTGACCTGTGTTTTCCTCATGTAGCCTTTACTGCACATGCCAACTCCACAAAGGGATTTCATGGGCATTTCCAGGCAATTAGGCTCGCTCTTTGATGCTGGCGGCTGCTCTGTGCCTAGCTGGGATTCACATTCCACACGTAGGTTCACAACCTGGGTGTTTCTACTCTAAATGATAAAAATACTGCAAAACAGGGTTTCCTAAAAAAGCATTTTTAAGAAAGACAGGCTAAAGTTCTGTGTGCTTTTGTGGGATTCATGGCTACAACTCTATTCCGTCACTTGTGATAATCAACATATATCTAATTGCAGGGATTAAAACTAAATGCAGCAAAATCCATCTCAGATTTAGAGTAACATCTCCCTTCATGGCTTAGATGGACTGGCCAAGCTGTAATGTATCCTCAGTCCTTGGTCTGCTGCGCACATCAACTGTCAGCATAACAGAAAGTGTGTGGCCAAATTCTGGGAGCTCAGCAGTAGCCCAAGGTGACTTTGTAGATGTTCTTTACTGCTTGAAGCCAGCAAGACACGAAGGACAGCTGCACTCAACCACTCAAATGAGGCAAAAGAAATGAGCCTGTCCTTCAGCACTTTTATTACCTGGGCTTCTCTCTGGCTGTCACCCCAGATGAAGGAGCTGTGACCAGCCAATGCAGTTCAGTGCTGCTGCTGCAGACTGAGTTACTGCACTGCCTCAAATTGCTACAGTGTGAGACTGACTCAAACATTGTATTTTAAGTCACTCCCTCCCCACCATCTCACAGAGCACCACACATTGACTACATGTAGGAAACATCAGCACATCTGTAGCCCCTTCTGAAATATCAGCTGAGCATTTCCTCAGCAAAACTGGCATTACAAACATATATTTCTGTGTCTCCAGCCACAGGCTATAGTGGGAGGACTGGAGTCCACTCTTCCCATCACTAGCGGAAGGAAGGGCAACTGGCAGCAGGGTGCTGAGCAGTTCCTGCACTTCAGGCAGCTGCCCTCAGCAGCATTTTCTGGGTATGTAGCTACTCCCTTGCCTGCAAGTAATTCACATTTTTTTAACACTGTGATGGTGTTTACTTTCCCCAGGGAAAGGATGAGGTACTGAATTCACCTTTCCCCCAGTGCCAGCCCTGAATCTCTGAGCCCCTGGCAGAAATGTCTGTGACCTGTTTAGAGAAGGGTCCTCCCAGAAACCTGAACCATCCAGTTCTCACAAGCGGAGTCACATTCACAGGATGCTTTCAGAGGGGTTGGGAGCAGTTTGAGAAGGGAGTATGTCTGCAGCAGGCTGGGCAAAGGCCATTTGTGCTTTCAGGAAGAGCTGGGCAGCCCTCACTAGACAGGTGTGACGCTGCCTTTGGCACATCCATCACAGGTAATACAGTACAGCACTAAGATTGCAGTACTTGGCTTAACTTAAACCCAGAACCTACAGGACCTGGTGACCAAAACAAAGACATTAATTGTCTGGATGAAACTTGCCCAGCATCTAATTTGGAGGGGAAAAGTGCAGGTAGCTCTTCACTGTGAGACTTATGAGACTCAATTTGGGGCTGACGTGAACGCTTGCCAAAACAGAGCAAAAGAAGGTGACTCTGTTGTAGGCCAAATTCATGTGATCCAGGAGATAAGAACTTTATAATCCCTACTAGATGACAAAAGCAAAGGATTTCAAGTAGACTGGAAAAAAATAAAAATTTCAATACTGCTGCGGGCTCACAAAGCTTTTGGACAAAAATTAATATCCAGAAAGGTAGAATTTCTGAGTCAGATACTAAGCTGATGGTGCAGTTTAATTTCCCCGCACATTTGCCTGTTTGCAAAGAGACTTCGGAATTTAAGATTTGTACTTTTAATACTCCATGCATTAGCCTTGAGGAAACAAAGAGGTGAAAGCCTAGATGAAAGCAATGTAAGAAAACACCGGAGTCCAGCAATTAACTAAGCTTTTTAACACACAACACTGAAAATTTTATTACCTAATTAGTTTTTTACTCTAGAAGACAATATTGGACCATGACATACACCGAGAGTGTAGCAGTTCTGCACAGATATCTGTGCAGAATACTCTTGATAGTAATATAATTGTGACATACATAGTCCTGAGATATGGACAGACCTTATTTCTTTATTGATATCTTTATGCTTAAGTATTTTGACTATCTAAGAACTCGGATTCATTGCATCTTTCATTTTTTATTATACCCCCTTCCCTCCACTTACTTCATTCTTACTTGGCATTTCTCTCATCCTTGATAGAAGCCTTAAGAAGGGAGGTGAGTGAAGTAGCTGATTTTATGGCTCTTCTTTTTTGGTTTTGCCAAGCACGGAATGATGTGACTGAGTTAAATTAAATGCATTTCAAACACTAGGACAGGCCTCTTTCTGTTACTTAGTCCGATGGGCTTTCTAAATAAGGCAGAGCTGCCACATCTAGACACTGTATGTCTGACACTGGGGCCTTCTCAGCCCAGCAGGTCTAGGTGACCAGATGCCTGGATGGGGAGGAAGGTTTGTCCCAGCTTTGACACACAGATGGATTTCACAGATGGGAACCAGGCAGTTCCCATCTTCTCCATCTCCAAATTTAACGCAACATAATGCAAATGCAGGCCCAAATCTCAGTGGACTGTGAGTTGCACAGGGAAGGAAGGGCAAGGAGATAAAATATCATGGTTTTAGGCACTTCCACCATAGCCCTCCCGTGGAGGTGCACCCAGCAGGACCAGGGCACTGGGCAGGGAGGTACCAGGAGGACGTGACTGAAAGCAGGAGGCTCCTTATGCAAGGCTGGGGACCAGGTGGCATAAACCAGCTGGGGAAAATCAGAGGGTGCCCTTATCTGCTGAGTGATAAAGCAGAGCTGGAAGCCTGGAAAAGACTGAGAAGAACCAGGGAGAGCCACTGCAATTAGGGTTTATTGTCAGAGTAGAGAGGGATTATAACACCATCACATGCAGAAATTTTCTGGGTGAAACCAGGGCCCAGTGGGGTGGTACAAGAGCTGCTGGGCAAAAAGCAAGGTGGGAGGGCTTCCCTGGGCTGCCCAGGAGTGTGTGCTCAGTGGAACAAAATGGAGTGTTTTCCAAGATTATTTTGCAGTCTGAGAAACTGGTCTCTGGAGATTTGATATTTATAAAGATGATGGAGAAATCTGGAGAGCCAGAGGCAGTGCGTTTGCCAGGCAGACTGAGTGGGATGGCACATGCTGGTGTTTGTGTGTCAGCAAGCCCCAGCTCACTGCTCCCTGGCAGGAGATTCTGGAGTGTGAGGAGCCCAGGGGCACATTTCTCCAAGACCAAAATTCCCTTAGCATACAAATATTAACCATAAAGCTTAATATATCTTGAGAAAAGGAAAGCAGATGGAAGTTAAATGATTTAAATATCTTAAATATTTGCTTGGATTTTTCCCCCCCATTTTTTTAGAAAATCAGTGTAAAAGTGAAAAGAAAAAAACCTTAATGATATCAGTGGTTCAGGAAAAAAAGAATGCTTAGGATTATTTTTTTTATCATGTTCCAAGAAGATATTACTTGTTTTGTCCATGAAGACATGATGCATTTCATGCTCCACAGCCTCTAGAACAAGAATGAAAATGCTGTAACGCCTGTTGCTTGGGTTTGTGATTTCTTGCTAGGATTCTGCAGCGTCCCTACACATAAGGCTCCTCTTACTGCTTTTGTCACAGATGTCAATCTTCCCACGGATTCGCTCTGGTTGTCTTGGAGTTACCATATACTTCAAACTCAATTAAATCTCCCATGGAAGTCCCTAAGGGGATTGGGAAGTCAAAGTCACTGGTTGTTTTGACAGTGGATAGTCAGGGGAGAGGGAGGGAGCTATTTTATTTCCTTTGCAGCTTGCCTGTTCTAGTTGCCATGACATATAGTTAAACTCTAATGGAGAGGGTAAATGTTTCCTATGGAAATATTCAGTATTTCTACAGCAAGATTGATAGCATTTGCCTAACACTGAAAGACATGAACGTGGATTCTGCAGGCTCAAAGCTGGGCTCGCTTTCTCCAACTGTGTATTGATGGGGTTTTTGACAGCTCAAGGTTCCACCTGGAATGCAAATATTGCGCAATGTTTGATTTCAGATCAAATGTCTGCTTTTCTCTGCAAACGGTGAAGGAAAGGCAGACGAGGCTGGGCATGGCCCCTTCAGCCTTGACCTCCAGCCTAGAGATAAAATCAGAGTACTGAACAAAAACCTGGTGTTATAATACCAACATTGTCAGGGATACTCCGTCCTTCCCAGCTGGAATTACCTCCCAGACACACCCAGACACCAAAACAAACATCACGGAGGGATTTTGAAAGACTAATTTCTTACGAATCCTTGTGGTACCTCAGAGGAAAAAGGGGCCCTGTCCTCAGTCAGAAACTGTTGCAGTTTCCCTATCTGCGGAAAGTTTAAACTCACTTTTATCTCGTGTTACCAACCCTAATCAATCTTTTGACTTAGAAGCGTGACTTCCCTGCCTGAAACGTGGGTTCCGACTCCTGGCCCTGCAGAGGACACCCCAACAATCCCACCCTGTCCCAAACAGCTGCTGCTTGGACTTCACTGCCCAGTGAGCTGTCCTGGGCTGCTCTTTGGAGCTGCAGCTCCCACCTGTGCCTTGAGCACCGACACCAAATCCTGCCCTGGTGCAGGATCCCCACTCCCTGACACAGACCTCAGCTTTATGCCACTCAAGGTCTGTACAGGGGCTCTGGAGGCTGCACTTTAAGCAATGGATGCATTTGCCCACTCTCAGCATTTATCAGTCCCAGTTTGTTGTCCAGGTCGGTCCAGGTGTCTTTGCAGAGGCGAACAGGGGCAGGTTTGGTTCTTTTCCTCCCTGCCGGCTCGGGGACCTCTCTCCCTGCTGGTCCAGCTGTCTGGGGCTCCCTGTCCGCAGCAGCTGCCCCATGCCCGCAGGGACTCCTCCCAGCTTTCCTTCCCGCTCCGAGTCCTGGCTGCTGCATCCCCGTGTAAGCAGGGGTGGACTCTTTGCCCTGTTACCCTTGAAGCACCCAAGCTCCCAGCTCTGAGCTGCTAAATGGAATTCAGCTGTGACGAATTCACGTGGCAGGCGAGACGCAGGAAGCTCGGCGGAGAGGGAAAACCCTCCCTTTAAAGGGGGAGGAGGCAGCAGCTTTTTGCTCGCAGAGCAAACGAGAGGTCTTGTTCCACTTCCGCTTTCAGTTTCATTTCCCACCAGTGCCCTCCTCCTTGCCCTCAGCCCTCTCTCGAGGCTCAGGCGCTATGGCCGAGGCGGGTGCTGCGGCCAGGCTGAAGGACGAGCTGACCTGCCCCATCTGCCTGGACATTTACAGGAACCCCGTGTCCCTGGGGTGCGGTCACAGCTTCTGCGAGGAGTGCATCCAGAAGGATCAGAAATGCCAGCAGGGCCCTTCCAAGTGCCCACTCTGCCTTTCCCCCACAGGCCCCACCGGGGAGCTGAAGCCCAACTTCCATCTCCGCAACATAGTGCAGAACTTTTTGGATGCTTCTGTTCATCAAGGGGAAGAAAAGCAGAAAGTGCAATGCAAAGAGAAAGAGGAAAGTTCGGACCAGCAAGAGGAGGAAAAGCAGGAAGTGCAATGCAAAGAGAAGGAGCAAAGTTCAGACCAGCAAGAGGAGGAAAAGCAGAAAGTGCAATGCAAAGAGAAGGAGGAAAGTTCGGACCAGCAAGAGGAGGAAAAGCAGAAAGTGCAATGCAAAGAGAAGGAGGAAAGTTCGGACCAGCAAGAGGAGGAAAAGCAGAAAGTGCAATGCAAAGAGAAGGAGGAAAGTTCGGACCAGCAAGAGGAGGAAAAGCAGAAAGTGCAATGCAAAGAGAAGGAGGAAAGTTCGGACCAGCAAGAGGAGGTGATCCTGTGTGATTTCTGCCTTCAGGAGCCCCATCCAGCCGTGAAGACTTGCCTGAGTTGCGAGGCCTCCCTGTGCCAAGCCCACCTGAGCAAGCACAGCACAAAGAACACCCAGAAGAACCACGTCCTGGTGGAGCCCTGTGGTGCCCAGGTTTTGGCTGAGAGGAAATGCCCCCAGCACGGCAAATTGCTGGAATGCTACTGTGAGATGGACAAGGTCTGCATCTGCATCCTGTGCTCTGTCCTCAGCTCCCACAGGGAGCACAAGATTCTCAGTTTGGAGGAGGCTTTTGCCCAAGCACAGGTAAGAGGCTGCCGGGGCAGCTGGTTTCATGCATGTATGTGAGTCCTATCCTGATATCTCCCCCTGGTTATATTTGTAGCGTGTTTTTCCCGAAACTCTAAAAGAGGTGAAAAACTATGAAACTGTGCTGGATCGAAGCATAGCAAACCTGCTGGGACAAGCGGAGGAAGTAAAGGTTTGTTCCAAGACCCATATCGCTTTGGGGATGGTTGCATGCTGGTAACTGATAAGGTTTTCTTTTGCCCTTTCCCAGATCATGGATTCTGAAGCTTTTTTAGATCCTGGGCAGTTTCTAATGTATTTTTGAGTTTTCTTCTTTGAGGGAGGATGATGAATAACTTTCTTATCGGTCTGGGAGGTACATTCTTAGTTAAGCTTGAAAGTTGTTGTTAAATCTGTGCCTCCTGATGAGTGATTGGTGTGTGGCTTTTTTATTTTTCCAACCTTATTCAATTTTTAGTTACTTCTCTCATCCAGAAAAGAACAGGCCGTTTTTTGAGTGAGAGCTCATGTGAAAAATGTCCCTACACAGTCCCTTACAGCTTTGAAAGTGTTTTCTTAATAGGTTAAGGAGGGTCTGCAGTGGCAACGGCTGGAGAGCCTATTCAAAGAGATCAGTCTGCAGCTAGAGAAAAAAAAACGTGAGATCGTGAAAGCTCTCAGTGACTATGAGAACCAACAAATTTCTCGGATTCATATGGAGTTAAAGAACCACAGAGAGCAGAAGCGTTCAGCCAGCCGTGATGTTCAGGAGCTGGAGGCTCTGAGAAATCAGACAGATATACTTCTTTTCACCAGGGTACCTAACAGCATCCCCCTTCCCGGAGATACACAGCTCTTGGGCTGGCCTGTGCCTGTGCTATGCTAATTCTACTTTCAAAATGTCTTTACAGGCTTTTACAGCAATTCAAGCCAGGTAAGATCTTCCCAAGGTTTAATATTTTTACTGATGATCTGGACGAGGGGATCGCGAGCACCCTCAGTAAGTTGGGCGGGAGTGTTGATCTGCTGGAGGGCACGAAGGCTCTGCAGAGGGATCTGGACGGGCTGGATCGACGGGCCGAGGACAAGTGCATGAGGTTCAATAAGGCAAAATGCCAGGTCCTGCACATGGGTCACAACAACCCCAGCTACAGGTGGGGGAAGAGTGGCTGGAAAGCTGCCTGGTGGGAAAGGACCTGGGGGTGCTGGTCGGCAGTGGCTGAACATGAGCCAGCGTGTGCCCAGGTGGACAAGAAGCCAATGGAATCCTGGCCTGTACCAAAAATAGTGTGGCCATCAGGCCCAGGGAAGTGATTGTCCTTCTGCACTGGGCACTGGTGAGGCCACACCTCGAGTGCTGTGTCCACTTCTGGGCCCCTCATGGCGAGAAAGACATTGAGGGACTGGAGCGTGTCCAGAGAAGGACAACAGATTTGGGGAAGGGTCTGGAGAGTCAGTCATGTAAGGAGTGGCTGAGGGAGCTGGGGGGGCTCAGCCTGGAGAAAAGGAGACTCAGGGAGGACCTTCTCACTCTCTCCAACTCCCTGACAGTAGTGTGGAGCCAGGTGGGGGTTGGGCTCTGCTCCCAGGCAACAAGGGACAGGATGAGAGGACATAGTGTCAGGCTGTGCCAAGGGAGATTGAGTTGGACATTAGGAGGAATTTCTTCACAGAAAGGGTGATTAAACATTGGAAGGGGCTGCCCAGGGAGGTGGTGGAGTCACCATCCCTGGAGATGTTCAAGGAACAACTGGACTTGAGACTCAGTGCTCTGGTCTGGTTGACAAGGTGGGAATGGGTCACAGGTTGGACTCGATGATCTTGGAGGTCTTTTCCAGCCTTAATGATTTTATGATTCTATGGTTCTATGATTCTTTCTGCATGTATTAGGGAACGCAAGCCTGTTCCTA